TTTATATTTATTTAATCTCTATGCATGTACCATCGTGTAATTCATTTGTGTTTCATCTCAAATCTATGTTCCAGTCATCAGAGTGAGCAACGTGAAGATATGCAGTTCAAAGGTCTTCAAGATTCACATGCATGCAATCTAAATATGCATCACCGAGATCAAACACAAGCATGTGTAGGGACTGGGAAGCGTATGATATGCTCAATAAGCAAGGCAAAGATTGTGTAAGTGGAACTAATGGTTTCAATCTCTTTCGGGAGAAAAAGCTCAGCTGTGGTATTTAATGAGAAATGGTAGTTTGATCCCACAATTTCAATCTTGTCAAGGAGCAAATGAAATTGAGTGGATTCTATAATTGAGTACTTAAGCTTCAGCTAATATACTTGATAACTGTTTCGATTTAAGTTCAAATCACACGCCATTCTTTTCTTGGTGACTAATTTAACAAAATATCGTCTACATTTTTGCCTTGCTCCCCCCTCCCCACCTCGAACCAATTCATCTGTCTGTCCAAAAAGAAATGAAAATCTTGGGCTGCTGAAGCTTTAATATCTGAATGTGGCAATGCAATTAGTATTTATTCTGTAGGAGAAAAGGGGGCCAAGCCTTAATATAAGCCTTATACTTCTATTGAGTTTCGAGTAAGTAATTTTTCTTTGGGTACAGTTCGAGCCTTGGATGAAGCAATCATTCTTCCGTCCAAGTTTTCTGCATTCTTGTTAGTATAAATGACCAATGCACTGTATCATCACATATTGGCTGATAGATAGAACTTGCATCTCATGTCACAATTCAGGAGTGATTGAACCTATTATTCTTGGATAAACGATAATTCTAACTTATTATCAAGTTTCACAATCTTACCATTAGAATGATTTCTCAGGAGAAATTGTGTGTGAAGGTGTGTTGAAGAAGCAGGAGAGGAGAGAAAGTAGGGAGAATGTTGGAAGGTGTCTGCATGAGCTACATGAAGTCACTGCTCATGAAGCTGAGTGCAGCAGGTTGATGCTCGTGGAGTTGAGGTAGTTAGATGTTAGGCTGTTAGTAGTTGTAACTAATGTTAGCAGTATGTAACTGCTTGCATGCATGAACCCTATATAAAGACTGTAAAGGAAGAATTAAAAGATAAGAAAGAAAGCATTCTGATTTTTGCGTCTTGCTGTTAGTATAGCTATCTTAAACGTTTCAATAGGTCCATAGTCTGAGTGGCCCCATTTTTTATGACGATTTTTATCATGACAATTGGTACGTCTTTCCTAAATGTATTTTTCGTTTGTTTCACCTCAACATTTTGCAACTTCCAGATGCGACTTGGCAGTGGAGGATCAACAATTAGTCATTCTGATGGGGGTACCGTACCGTCTGTTACTAGAAGTACGTACAACTTCGATTTAACTTTGAGTTTCAATGGAAGTGGTAAATTGCAGAATTTCCATACACAACCTTTTTAGTTTTTTCTGTTCCTGAAGATATAAACAAATGTTAAAGCCTTGCCTTAACAGTGAATTCTGCAGTTTACCTTGATCTAGAGCTAGAATGAGTCGTCTCATAATTTTCATACACCGACCTTGGAGTCAGTTTATGGAACCTGGATTCGTATGGGAGAGTCAAGTTAGAATTTTTCACTCAAGGAAAAGGAAACATAACGCAGGAAGAACAGTTAAGTGAGATCCTCATCCTATTACCTTTGCCTAGAAGCTCTAGATTCAAACCATTAGGAAATGAAAGTTTGCAAGTAAGATTAACTTAGCAGTTTGTAATTCGTATAGCATCCCTGTTATTTTGTGTAAAATCGTGTTTACATGCACATAAAAATTATCGTCTTATAGATTTCGGCACGTTCATGTATGTCTTGTTTTATTTATGTTCTTTCTGTTTTTCTTCCGGCCAAAACAGCAACTCGGATTCAGTCCCCACTTGAGTCTAACTAGATTTCTGCTTGCTTGCTTGCTTGCCGACCAAGAAAGTGGGGATTGAAAGATTAATCTTCAATTGAAAGATCCAGCTTTCTATTATGACTCTGTTCTTGTGAGCTTCTACTTGTCTGCAGGAATTTAAATCATTAACGCCATGTTTGATGAAACATCAATTTTTTAGCCTCTCATTTTGATTTTTTCCTTTATTTTCTTGGTTTTGTAAAAGGAATATATAGTTTTTGCTAGTTTTGCAATTTGCATGTACCGTTTTAGGATCGAGTGTGGGGATCTAAAGAATAGTCAGGAAGTTACAAGATTTGGGTAGAGAATATACCCAACAAGGAGAAAATTGAAAACAAAATTTTGGGGTTTTCTTGGTTTAAGGACGGTGGAGCACGGCAGCAGCCGCGGTAGCGAATGGCCGGAAAATGGATTTGTGGTAGGTTTCTGGGTTTTATAGGGAGGAGAAGAGACTTGAACAGTTGGAGAAATGAGAGACAAATTTGTGAGAATTTAATTGGGAGGTAGAAAAGTATATTTTTATTTATAAATAGGGTTTCATTCTTATGGTATCGTTCTATAACTTAAACATTAAACCCTAACTTAAAACCTTAAACAATAATAAATATTTTAAATATTGATGTAATTGAACAACTTTAAAGGTTAAATTGATGTAAAAATCCTATAGAGGCGAAAATGATAAATTGGATATACTATAAGGACAAAAATGACCCTTAAATCTTATGAATATAGACATTTTAATATTTATTTTTGAAAAAGAAATATATAATTAATACTAAATAATAAATCGTTTATAATTTTAATATGTTATAAAATAGTTATAATGAAAAATAATTTAAATTGTGATATAGTATTGATTTAGTTATTGTTAACAAAAACAAAACAAATATTGGACTTTCCTTAATGAATTATTACAGTTTAAATGTAACACTATAATTTTATCAACTATAAAAATATAATAACGTTATTTAATAAATATTATGTAATATTAAGAATATAATTTATTTAACTATATATACTTTTATAAATATAATATACTTTTACTCTATTTAGTTCCAGCAAACCAAATAGTTTCGATTTTGGAGCACAGAGAAATTGTTTAGTTGGTAATATAAATGGTTAATTATTCCATTTATACATGAATTATACTTAATTCTTAATTTTATACATAAAGTTTAAAAAGTATCAATTAACTACATAATATTTTCTGTCGTTAACGGATTCACCCACTCCCAAATGACATAAAACCCTATAATCATGGCATGTGACACATTAAAAAAAACATATTTTTTTAATTTTTTAGATAAATTATACTATTCATCACTCAACTATATTCTCACTCTTATTTTAGTCACTAGAAATTAATTTTTTTTAAATCTCAAAGTTGGCTTTATCGTTCATTCTTGCAACTTCACCTGTGGCAACGTCCGACCGTTAAATTTTTGGTCACTCGAATCTGAGCAAGGTATTGATTAGAAGATAAAACTTGAGGAATTTCCCTGGTGAGAAAGTTGTCATTGAGAATCAAAGATTCAAGTTGCATTGAAGCGATTTTCTTGGTAATTTCCCCGTGAGGCTGCTCTCTGAAACGTCAAGTCGAAGCATAGCTGGCAACTCAGGTAACTCACGAGTTAACTGGTTCTGGTAAAGCTCGATTTGCACCAAATTCTTTAACGTTGAAAATCTTTCTGGGATTTTACCGCTCAAAAAATTGTATGATAAATCGAGATTCTGTAACGAAATGAGATTACCAATGGAAAACAGAATTTCTCCCACGCGATTCGAGTTTGATAACCATAAAACTTCTAGCTTCGACAAGTTTTTGATCTTCTTCGTCAAATGACTCGCTTTAAAAGGATTAAACTCGAGTTCGAAATTAGTTAACTCAGTAAGATTACCCAGAAATGAAGGAATCTTTCCGTAGTGAAAGGACTTTGAGAGATAGCATCTGTCCAAAGTTGAGGGGAATCTCACCAGAGAAATTGTTGTTAGAAAGTCGAAGAACTTTCAGATTCTCCAACGAGAAATCTGGTAACTCACCGATGAATAAGTTATCCGAGAAGTCAAACTCACGTAGACGAAAACATAGAGAGAAAGCCTGAGAAGATGATGAAACGTTGAGGAAATTATCAGCGAGATAAAGAAGTCAAAAGAGTCCAAATCCGGCAAAACTCAAACGGAAGCCCGCCGGAGATTCCATACCCAGAAAGATCAATCCAAATAACAGTATGATTCTGAGCTTCACAGCTAATGTCGGTCCAATTACATTGGCTTTGATCGGGGTTTGAAATAACCCAATCACAGAGCTTCTCATTCGGATCAACGATCTAGGAATTCTTGACCCGACTCAAGATTTAAGAGTCTCCATTAAAATAGACCACGAAAGGTAGAACAAAAGAAACTCAGAAAACGCAGAAAAACAAAGTTTTGAAATTTGGATTTTTCATTTCAAAGTAAAAGCAAGAAGACGCATGGAGCAACTTTTTGATAATATCTTGGAATTGGGGGTGAAAGCTAAGCTTCATAAGATTAAGAGTGGATGGGAAAATGGAGCTTTAAAACTCAGTTCTGTGATCAAATTTGGCATGGAAACTTGCAGTGATTCCAGATGAGCACTGAGTTGGAGCAGTACCCATGAGGAAAAACACCAACACAACTCACTGTAATTCGATAAAACCCGTTGCGGCTGGATAATAATTAAATTAAAAAAAATTAAAATTTAGTTATTAAAATAAGAGTACGAATATAATTGAATGATGTAATTTACTTAATATATTTTTTTAGTGTCACATATAAATTTGTTATAGGTCTGAAGATTTCACATCAAATTCTGTGACAAAATAGGTATATTATGGAAAAAATTATTATATAATTAATCGAGAAATTTTAAAATTTATGTATGAAATTAAAAATCGAATATAATTTATATATGAATGGGGTAATTACCCTTTATTTAAGGCAAACAAATATTATCAATTTCGATCGGTCAAAAATAAATAATGCGGCGTGATAAAGTTTTGGTTAAGCTCACGAGAGAGAGGGCTTTGGCAGACCCTACTGATATTCCCACCCAAATATTAATAATATTTTTCCTCATTTTTAAGGTCTCGAAATATTCTCACAAAATTACACATTTGGATTCAAAAGGCCCCATAAACGAGAATTGAATAATCCTACTATGTCCGGTAACACCTTCCTCACCAGACCCTTGTGGCCGCTCAGCTTCTTCCGCCACCGGAAAATCTTCGGTCATTTCCACCGCTTCAGCCGACTCTTCTTCAACATTCTTATCCGTAGAAATGACGTCATCAGTGATCATCGCCGGCGCTTCATCGGCAGAACCCTTCGAGTCAGGAACTTCTTGTTCGGACCGACCCGGAAGAGCAACGACCGGGCTATCGAGGATCCGAGTGACCGTCCCGCTGTTGGCATCCCTTCTCTTGAGCCGCGCATTCTTCTTGGAAGGCCTCGGGGATCCCCCGTTGGTTAAATGTGCCTCGAAAGATTCGATAGCTTGATGGATAAGCTCGCGCTTGGGAGAAGAGTCCCACCGGAACCAGTAACTGGTGTAACAGTCGAAGCAATCGCAGTCGAAAACGGGCTGCTTGTGGGCGGACTTCGCCTCGGTGGTTGGCGGTGGCCGTTTCTTGGAAGACGAATGGTTGTTATTGGTGGTGGTTGTTTTGAGGGACCTTGTAATCATGTAAGCTAAAGTTTCTCGCTCGTCGAGAGAAAGAACATGAAGAAGGGTTAAAATGGTGGCGGGAAGAAGGTTCAAAACTGAAAGATGGTCTTCGCCGGAGGAGGAAGAAGAAGGGTATACTTTACCTTTGTTTTTTAGCTTCATGGTTTGTAAAGAAAGGGTTGGCAGGTGATTGATTAAAGTAGGGATCCGCTTCTTTCATCTTTATCTCTACCCTGCATTTTTATGTACTATGGTTGGTAAATTTATTCAAAATATTCTCTTTTAAATAATACTAATCAATATTTATAATTTATTTTTTATTTATCTTAATTTAGTTATTTCAAAAAAAAATATGTTTTTATCGTTTACATTATTGATTTATTATATATCTTCATCATTGGGTTTGGGTAGTTGATTCTCGTGAAGTGTGGTATGTTAGCAAAAATAATTATATTTTAATTTGATTATTAAATTTTAGATAAAAATATTTATTTAATCTTAAATTTAAATATTTTATTAATTTAATTCTTAAAATTTAAATAAAATATCTATTTAACAACTGGATTCGACCAAAGTCTCCATCGTATATAGCCATTGTTAGTTTTTGTCATCAATTACCGACGATTGATGTTATCTATGATCGTTTGATCTTAAAATTTTCAGTCTACTCCTTTTTTACCTCCTAAACACGAACCTAATATAGGTTCATACAAAATGCTCCAAACTCTAAAAATTATCTAAAATATATTTAATATATAATTAATATATTAACTTATATTTTTAAATAATTTTCATAAATATCATATCTATTTATATAAAATATAATATGAAAAAAATATTATGGTCTCGAGTGGACAAAAATATTATTTTTCAATGTATAAGATCTATTTTTTTATAACTTAAAGTTATTTATTATTTTAAGTAATTACATTTTTATAATAATATTATTTTTCACTTCTCAAAAGTACAAAATAATTAATATATTGAATATTAAAAATATAAAATAATTTTAAATACTCAAAATTATTAATATTTTACTGAATTAAACTCTTTGTATATTATTATTATGTTTATAATTTTGAGTAAAATACAATAAAATATGAATTGAAAATGATCATTATAAAAAAATTATTAGTCTAGGTGTATTCTTGTCCAAAGTAATGAAAATTTTTCTAATACATAAGAATTTGGAGGTAATGACGATCCCATCAGTTTAACAAAAAATACAACTAGTGAAAAAATTATTCCGTGATAATAATTTTTTCGTGAACCAAACGTGAAAATACAATTTCGAAAAAGATTATCCCCTTTGTAATGATCTTCTCCGCGAGCCAAACACGCCCTAAGTCATTTCTTATTAAGTGTGATTCATTTTTTTCCTTCAAATTTCTACTAATCATTTTATTAAAGGATATTAATCTAATAGGCAAAATTACTCATGTAGGGCAATAAAAAAATATTGGCTCATATACGGTCTCGTCGGATTTATTTTTTGATTTATTTTTTGATCTATTGTAAATGCTAGCATGTTCGTCGGAAGACACAAAAAAATATAATGCATCATTGGAAATACACAGTGACCACAATGCGTCTTTTGTTTTGTTCCTATGATAATCTTAGCAATCCAAATGTGTGAAAAATGGGGAAGAATAAGGAAGACGCACTATGTTCCCGACATCTTCCCTGACACTATAACGATCACACCATCTCAAGAAATAATTCCGACAAGATCCTATATGAACCATTTCCAACGCCTCATGCGAGCAATTTTGCCAATCTAATAAGGGCATGCCTCACAAATATTTTGTTAATAGCAGTAATTAGAGCGCAAATTAATAAAGAGATTAACGACTCTAATACAAATTTTAAAAATTTGATGATCAAAATATAAATACCCTAAATATTTGATAAATTTAGTGACCAAAGTACAAACAATCTAAAAATTTAATAACTATTAATATAATTTACCATAAATAATTTAATTATTTATAGTGTTATTTTCTAAAAAATATTTTTATGTTTTTAAAATTTTGAAAATAAATTAAAGAAATAAAATATTTCAAAACAGCTCTTACAGTCACTGGTCAGGTTGAAATTTGAAAAGGACAGAACAGTGCGTTTAATACTGAGTAAGATAAGGACCAAACAAACAACCGACCATTAAACGCACCGAGTACTAAAATTTAGGGGCTCAAAACTGTTTGTCTCGTCTTCCCAATTCGAGTATTAAAGGTACAACGAAGATTTTATTATTCTTAAAGGTTCAATGGAGAAATAAATGTATATTATATTATCTAAAATATTGATTTTTAAAAATAAAAATTAAATTATTTAATTAAGTGGCATGATTCATTCCCTGTGTTCAGCTTTATTGTAGGCTAAAGATCTCTCTACTCATAATGCTTAATTAATATTAAAAGTTTGATTAATCATGTTACTTGTCTTTAATAAATCAACAGTGCACTTCATCGTTTTTTAACAAAAAAAGAAATGCCTGTAAATCTTGGACCATAGTCCATGCACCTTCTTTTTATTAGGACCTGATAATATCATTTCATTACACCTTACAAATCATTTACATATGTAAATATATTTTTAAGATAGATATACACGTATTAATTATTAAAAAATTTCATATAGAATAGACATAAATAAAATTTCAAATAGACATCTGTAGTAAAATAGACTACTATAAAAGATTTTGATTTCAAGGTGAATATGTGTGTACTATGAGTATACTTTGTTGAAGAAGAAACCGAACAATCAAAATCAAGTGGAAGCATAACCGGTGTTCTTTCTCTCCCTACAACGACTGTCAATAATTATGACAAACACAATAGCATAAAATATGTTCTTTAGTAATACTAACCAACCACAAATCAACAAATGCAACCACAATACAAATAAATGGAGACGCATATATTTTTACGTGGAAAACTCCTCTAAATCAAGGGTAAAAAAACCACAGGACTTTAGAGTTCAATCAAAAACTTCACTATCAACAAATGTTCAGCTACAATATCACAAGATTAAGCCTACGACAAGGATACAACTCCAACAAGGCTAACAACTAGTAATTTTTATCAAAAGAGAGAAAATGGGAGAACTTCACAAAAAACACAACTTGTTAAAAAATGAGTATTTCCGACACTAAAAGTATCAGATGAAAAACTCTACCGTACAAGTCAAGAACACATTGTCACCTAGATGTTGTCCGAAAATCAGCTCAATCGAACCACGGATGGATCTCTGATCGAAGAGTTGATCACTGTTATGCAAACTTCACAAAAATCGTTTCTCTCATCTTGTTTTATCTCGAATATGAACCTTCTCTCACACTTTTCCAAAAACTGATTTTGTTGATAAGTAAAGGTTGCCCCCACACACAAGACATGAAGGCAAAATGCATTTTTGCCAAAGTTAAAGAAAAAATAATAATAAATGCATAGCATAATTTTTTTTACCAAAACAACAACAACAAACAAGCAACCCATTTTTAAGTTGCAACACATTTTCTGGTGATGGGTTCCCCACATAGTGGACCCACATTCAACAAATCTTCCCTTCTAACTATTGAGGGAAAGCCTCCATGCCGGCGATCAAACAACATACTTCAAACATTCCTCTTGGTAAGGCTTTCGTCAACATATCAACACCATTATCATCAGTATGAATCTTCTCAAGCTCTAACAATTTAGCTTCAAGAACATCTCATATCCAATGGTACCTAAAATCAATATGGTTAGATCTAGCATGAAAAGTTGAGTTCTTACCAAGAAGAATTACGCTCTAGCTATCACAATGCAAGACATACCTCTCTTGAGTAAAACCAAGTTCATACACAAATTTCTTCTTCCAAAGAATTTCTTTGCACACTTCGGTCGCTGCAATGAACTTTGATTCAGTGGTGGATAATGTAACACACTTTTATAATCTCGATTGCCATGCCACAACTCCCCCCGCATGAGTGATTAAGTAACATGAAATAGATCTCCTCGAGTCAATTTCTCCGGCCATATCTACATTTGTAAATCCAACAAGAACACGTTTCTCATTGCCGAAACAAAATTGCATATTGGAAGTGCCACGAAGACATCTCATAATCCACTTCACTGCATTCCAATGCTCATTACCTGGATTAGAAAGAAACCAACTAATTGTACCAAGATCGTAAGCCAAGTCTGGTCTCGTGTATACCATCGCATACATCAAACTACCCACGACTAAAGAGTAAGAAACTTTATGCATCTCTTCCTTCTCTTTTTCTGTGGAAGGACTATGTTTGATACTCAATCTAAAGTGCGTAGCAAATGGAGTATTCATCGCTTTAGCACTGTCTAAACTAAACCTTTGAAGTACCTTCTCAATGTACCTCTCTTGTGATAACCATAATTTCTTGACCTTTTTATCATGTGTTAACCTTATGTCAAGAATTTTCTTTGCTGGCCCAAAAGTCCTTTATCGTAGAGGATTTACTCAGCTCCTGCTTCAACTTGTCAATTCTAGAAGCATCACGACCAACAATAAGTATATCATCAACATAAAGCAAAAGGATAATAAAATCATCACTAGAGAATCTCTTAACAAAAAAAAATGATCTAAAGTAGTCTTCTTGTAGCCTTGCTCCCCTATAACAAACTCAAACTTCTTGTACCATTGTCTTGGAGTTTGCTTCAAACCGTACAATCTCTTTTTCAACCTGCACACGTAGTCCTTTTTTCCTCATGTAACAAATCCCTCTGGCTACTCCATGTAAAGCTCTTCCTTCAAATCATCATGAATAAAAGCAATTTTCACATTCATTTATTCAATCTCTAAGTCATAACAAGCTGCCAAACTTAGTATAGTTATGATAGAGGACATCTTCACAATCGGAGAAAATATTTCTTCAAAATCAACTCCTTTTTTCTGAGTATAACCTTTGATGACTAATCTAGCTTTGTATTATAGAGATTGAGACTTCTCTTCATGCTTCAACCTGTAAACCCATCAATTCTTCAAAGTTTTCTTGCCCTTAGGCAATTTCACCAACTCAAAGGTATATTTATCAAGCAAGGATTGAAGTTCTTCTTTCATTACTTCAACCCACTGATCTTTGCATTTACTCTCTATAGCCTCTTCATAACATTCATGTTCTCCCCCTTCAGTCAAAAGAACACACTCTTCAAAAGAATATCTGACAGAAGATCGTTGATCTTTGGAAGATCTCCGAAGTGGAACTGCTGGTGGAACTATAGGTGCTTGTTGTTGATTATTCACAATATCATCCATGGGGGCATCAAAGTCACCATTATCTTGTGAATCCACTTTCTCTGTCTCATCAATGTCATAAATGGTCTGATCCTTAATGAATATAGCATCTCGGCTTTTCACGAGCTTCTTCTGAACTGGATCATAAAGTCTACAGCCAAACTCACCATCTAAACCATAACCAATAAAGATACATTATCGAGTCTTGGCATCCAACTTGGATCTTTCATCCTTTGGAACATGAAAAAATATTTTACAACCAAACACACGAAGGTAATCATATGACATGTCTTTACCAAACCAAACTCTATCTAGTACATCACCTCGTAAAGGAACACTAGGAGACAGATTAATCATATGTGACACTGTATTTAAACCTTTAGCCCAAAACTATCTTGGCAACTTTGCATTTGATAACAAACATGTGACTCTCTTAATCAATGTTCGGTTCATTCTTTCAGCTAAACATTCAATTATGGAGTCTTCGATGGAGTCATTTGATGTCTGATTCTCTGTCGTAGATAATACTCATGAAACGACCATGTATACTCGCCACCATTATCAGTACAAATACACTTCAACTTCTTCCCTATTTCCCTATCAACTGATGCTTGAAAATATTTAAATGCCACAAAGACTTGGTCTTTCAACTTCAAAGTGTATAACCACAACTTTCTTGAACAATCATCAATGAAAGTCACAAAATAAAGTAGCACCATATGACCTTACCTTTTATCGGGCAAAAAACATCTGAATGGACCAACTCTGATATTATATGAGGATGAGGACTTCTAAAAGAAACTCTTCACTGCTTCCTTATTAGACTATGAACACAATTATTTAGTGTAGCTTTCTTTAAACCCAAAAGTTTATTCTTTTTTTCTAAACAGTTAAGCCATTTCTCACTCATGTGACTAAGTCGTTTATACCATAACTCAGTTGAAATGTCATTCACTGTCGCATTCACATTCTCTCGAGAAGTAAAAGTCTACATCAAGTATAAATTCAAGCTTTTCTTTCCTCGAGCCACAATCAATTAACCTTTAGTTAGCTTCCACTGCCCTTACTAAAATTGCTACAAAATCTCTCATCATCAAGTTTTACTACATAAATAAAATTCAAACGGATATCTGGTGCATGCCTGACATCCTTGAGAGTTAACTTTATTCCATTATTAGTCACTAACCTAACATCTCTCATGCCAATAACCGGAACCAAACTGTCATTACTCATCTTTAATACCCCAAAATCACCATGAGTATAAGATGTGAAGAAATCCCTCCTCGACGTGACATGAAGTGAAGCACTAATATCAATCACCCAACTAGTCTTGTTTCATGCTAGGTTGACCAAATTCTCATCACAAATAACTAACAAATATTCACAAGTGACAGTAGTAACACGCTTAGATTTTTCATCATCTTTTCGATCATGTTTATCACCACTACTTTTGTTATCTTTCTTCCACTTAAAGCAATATTTCTTGATATGCCATTTCTTAACATAATTATGATACTCAAGATTCTTGTATCTCGATCTTGACTTGCTTCGGCTTTTATCTCTACCCTTGCCATCTTTGTCTTTGTTTCTCCCTCAATCCTTGGTAACCAAAACCTCAGATTGTGATGTAGAATTCTAAGACCTTCTTTTAACTTCTTCATTCAATGCACCACTCCTAGCTGGATCCAAGGTAACAATATCCTGTAGAGCAGAATTAATGAGCGAGACCCAAAGTCCCCTGAAAGTCCTGTAGAGTAGCAAGCAACCAAAGCCCTAAAATCTCATCATCAAATTTGACACCCATACCAAGCAACTGATTCATCGCACTTTGAAATTCGCTAACATGATCAACTATAGATGTTCCTTCTTTGTATTTCAACGCCATCATTTATTTAGCAAAAATAACTTGTTATTGCCCGACCTCGAAGCATATAAGCTTTCAAGCTTTTCCCATAATGTACGAACATGTGTCTCTTGATCAATATGGTTGTAAACATTCTCTTCAACGAATTGTCGAATAAAACCATACACTTTTTTATGCTCAAATTTTCATTCTTCGTCACTTTTCGAATCGAAATTTTAGTAGCAAAGATCGAAAGATGCAAAATCTTCCCAAACAATAAATCTTTCATTTTATTTCGCCGAAGTTGATAATTCGTGCCATTCAATTTGATCATCTTGCTCGTATTAATTTTCATAATTATCTGACACACTAATCAAGCTCTGATACTAGTTTGTTGGGAAAGAAATCGAATAACCGAAATCAAGCAGAAGCACAATCGGTATTATTTCTCTCCCTATAACACATGTCATTAATTATGGCAAACACAATAACAAAAAATATGTTCTCTTGCAATACTAATCAACTACAAATCAACCAATGCAACCACAACACAAATAAATAGACACCAATATTTTTTAAGTGAAAAACCCTTTAAACCAAGGGTAAAAAATTTGTGATATTATAGAGTCCAATAAAAAACTTCATTATCAACATATGTTCAGTTATAAGATCACAAAATCCAACATACTTCACCGTTACAAATACTATTATTTTAATTTCTTTTATTAATATAAAATAATATCTATTTATATTCTTTATTAATTATTTTTTGTTTCTTTTATTAATATAAAATAATATATATTTATAATCTTTCTTAATTATTAAAAACACACATTTACATGCCAATCGTCTTTAAAATCTAAATTTATTATATGTTAATTTATCATATGTTTTTATCATATGTTAATTTATTATATGTTTTTTATTTTTTTAATATATCACCACCTAAAACTTTATAAGTTCAAATTTATCTTTAACATAAAATCTTACACCTTTTTATTTTTATAAGTTCAAATTCATCCTATAATACATATTCATGTATAATATAATACATATTCATCTATAACACAAAATCTCCGTAACACAAAATCTTACACCATCCTGAATACATGTTCATGTTCATCTATAACACAAAATCTCCATAACACAAAATCTTACATCATATCTTACACCATCCTTGAATGCACGTTCATCTATAACACAAAATCTCCATAACACAAAATCTTACACCATATCTTACACCATCCTTGAATGTATGTTCATCTACAACACAAAAACTCATCTATAACACAAAATCTTACACCATATCTTACACCATCCTTGAATGCATGTTCATCTATAACACAAAATCTTACACCGTCTCTGAATACACGTTCATCTATAAACCCAAAACTTTGAATACAAATTCATCTATAAACCCAAAAATACACGTTCATCTTTAAATGTAACTGATCAAACCCAAAACTTCGAAACTTCAACCCAAAACTTCGAAACTTCAACGGATTCAAACTCAAAACTTTAAATGAAAACAAGACTCCCTTTAACAACAAATACTGCTCAATGAGTTGAGTTCCCTTGCGAATACTATTATTAATAGGCATACTTAATGAATAATTAACCTATGAATATCATATAATAACATTCTAAACTCGTCTTCTGTAGTAATGTGTATGCCTAAATAATACATATATTTCGAAAGTGGATAATTTTCACGGAAAGCCACGAAAGAAGTAAAGTCAACGGTAACAAGCAATTCATATTTCTCTGCTTTACTGTTTTCAATTCCCTTTGTTTTTTTTTACACCGTCTTGAACTCTGTTTTTAACCCAAAACAGCTACTAAAATGTCGCAGAAAACGAAAACATTACTTTGTAATACCAACTGTTTTTTAACATATTGAACGGTAACAGCAGATAGCATAGAGGATCAAAGGGACTCAATCCAGTTTCCTATCTATTGTCGGTCGAATCCTGTTTGTCGGCACAGTGGCACGCTTATCCTCCGACATATTCCGATGAAGCTCATCGGCGTCCCTGAAATACCTCTCGAATGCACGAGGGAGGAACTGTGGGATCAAAAAGCATAGCATGTTGACGGAGAAATACATTAGGTTTGCAGCTGCCAGCCACTTCCCGAACCATTCCCATGCAACATCCTACACAATTTTCAGCGTCAGACTTGACATTCATGCCCAAATTTATCGTTTTGTTCTTGTATTTTTTATGTTTAAAACATAAAACAACAAAGTTGCCTATATTTTTGCAAGAAGTACAATAATTAATACATGGTTTTATGTCAAAATAGACATGAATTTAAAAAGTTATATTAGAAATGTAAGACGCATTCGTAACATAAAATTCTGTATTGGCCAATTCTGCATCTGTCCATGCTCATATCGACAAATTGGTTCCTTAGACTTATGTAGAAGTAAAGGATGGAATTTTGGATTAAAGAGTTACCTTGGATGGTGCATTCTTAGGCAGGGTTTTGTTGAGCCAAGCATCCTGCACCCAGTCAAGTAAAACAAAGATTCTCCTACCAGTATACATCAATGGGACCAGTGCTCTCACCGGCGGTGAAAACAACGACAGCCCACTTATTACATTTTCCGTTAGTATTTGAAACGAAAGCAAGAACAAGTGAGGCGTCGCCGATCGAACGGCGTTCTCGTCGGCCCTCGCAAACCCACCCAACACGTAGGCCAACGGCAACAGAAGGCCTATGGTGGTTCCCAGGATCACATAAAGCTTAAACATTTTGCTTCCATTGAAAATCTCTTGCGACCCGTCGACTGATACTCGGCCGAGCGACGGGAAAGCGAGGCGCGAAAGGGCGATGAGGTAAGCTGAGACGAAAGCCGGGAAGACTAAGTCGAGGAGCGGCACTAGGCCGCTGACGGAGAAAACCATAATGAAAGCTACTAATTGGAGTTCGATCAAACGCAACGACCCCATCACACCGCTCACCGCTAGTTGCTGCTGCTGCTGCTGCAGGTGGTGGCGAAATTGTTGTTGGTCGGTTTTTTCGCATCCCGGCGCGACGGATCGATCCGGGTCGCTCCTAGGAGCCACCGCAAGAGTTACACCAGACATTTGTGCTCTGTGTTTTGTTGTTCAAAGTAAAATGCAGACTAAATTATGAAATCGAGAGAAACGAGGAAGATTTTGCAGTAGAAGTACATTATGAAATTGTTATTTGGTTGTGGGTTTACACGTGGTGATATGATGTGCTGCTTTCCTTACACGTGGACAGTGTTGCCTACGTGTCGCTTACCCTGATAAAACAAAATTTTCTTCATGACTTATCTGTATAGTCTGTGATGTATTTGGATAAGTATAGGTCTGTCGAGGGAACTTTGATGTATTTGATTAGTATTTGGATTGTTGGGAAAGGGTTATCGAACCAATTATCGGTCAAAGTTGTTCACATTTCACAGCCTGATTGTTGTATTGTATTGATTTACTAATCAACATTTCCAGGTACCATCAAAATAATTCTGTTCCTAGTAGTTGCCTGGCCTTGACGCCTTGCTTGCTTGATATTACGTAGCTTATAATTGCATAAGGTTTCCCCTTTTCATAAGAATGGCACCTTTCTACACACGTAGGTGTATCATCAACGGAGATAAAAATGTGTCGTAAAGATAAGAAAAAATAAATAGATAATAAAAAAATCGACAATCGATAACCAACATCAAAGATGATGTTGCCGTTGATCAATGAAGATGAAACTAAGAATGACACCCTAAAAATTGAGAAAAATTTAAAAATTAGGGTACATGATTTTTTTTAAGATTTGATAAATCGAATTTAACCTTCATTGTTCTTAGTTGTGCTTTCTACATAGACAACTTTTTTTTTTACTAATATAAGGTGAATATATAATAATATCTATTTAAAAGATTCTTAATTATTTAATAATGAACTTTCACATACCCATATAAACGTTGTACTTAAACCTTAGACCTTAAGATATTACAACAATCCTTTAACCACAAATAATTTAATATCCAAATTTATCAATTTTCATATTTAAAATTTGGGTAGACTATATATTACTACCCAACTATCATTTTTATTTTATTTTTATCACTAAATTATTTTTTTTAAATCATATCTAACTATGTTTTTGTACTCGCTCGGTTAGAAAACTAATGGTAACAATGATATGATATATATTTTTTTATTTTTAAGTGTTTATCTGTCGTTTTAATTATTTTTTATCTTTCAAATTAGCAAACAAATGTACATTTTTAATTATATTTTTATTTTATATGAGAATAAGATAGAAATGGTTGTGTGAGTTGCATTTTGAACCCCGGCACATTTGGTGGGGGTTGAAAGCCTAGCCCATGCTTATTGTTTATGTTTTACCATAGTATATATTAGCCCATGAACATAAACAAAATATTAGACCATGAACAACAAGAGTTATTTCCATTTGATATGCTTTTCAATTTTTTATATTTTATTCTTATTAGTTTTTTTAAATAACAAGATATTTCATTTATCAAAATTAGTATCAACAAACATCTTGTCAATTACAGACTGAACAAATACAGTCGAGACTATCGAAAATAAAATATAACAATGATCGCTTAGAGATAGTCTATAAACAAAATCATTAACAAGTGAAGCAACGACGTACATAAACTGAACATATTAACGGCTCTGAGTAACAAACATAGAAGAGAGAAATTTGAAGAAGAAATAAAAAAAAGGCCAACGGACAAAGCGATCTCCCCTTAACAACAATTCCTTCCTGCACATATATGCGATAATCAACGAACCATATTGTATGTACAAACAGAGAAACCATGCCACGGGAAAGCAACAACCATGTATTCAGAAAAACCGAGAAGAAAACCAATGAAAAAATATGGACTGAGAGTTCAAAAACACCAGTAGCATGATACCCTTTACTAGAAAAAAATAATAAAAGTATTATTATAATAAACACGATAAAACCTAACTAAAAATGACAGAGTGGTAATCGGAAAAGATCATCACCGCTGTCATGAACACAGAAAAATTGATTTAAAAAAATAATTGATAAAATTATCTTAATGATTAAAAAAATTATTGTTATTTTTAGAAATCTAAAATTATTCATTATCAATTGATTAAGACAGTAAATTTTAATATGATAATATTTATCACTATATTATAATTGTAGACTCAATATTTAAATATGTTTAACTTTTTTTATATAATCATTGTTATCAAAATTATTAATCGGATAATTTGAAATTTTATATCATATATTATAGAGGTTTAATATGTAGTAATCATTTCAACTCATTTTACTCTATACACAAACGTTAGGATTTAACTCTTAATTTAATTAAATTTTTTAATCAAACGGTTTTGCAAATCCATCTGAACCGATTCAATATGAAACTCCCTCGACAAGTATCGGACAAAGCGAACGGTTTTTCAACCTATCCGGTTTTCCTTTCACACAACATTACTTCTTAGTAAAGGAATGAAAAAGTAGAAATAATTTTATAGTCATTTGGTCCAAACCAAAAGGCCGGCTAAACCGTCAGATCTAAAGAGCGGTTCTTCAATCCCGGAGCCGATATAAAAAAAGAACCGAACCCAATTCACATTTATCACGAATCAAGAGCATGATGAACGGCGGCGATCATAGCATCCTCAGGTGGGACCCCTTCCTGCTTTCTTTAATCACGTGCCTCGTTTGTCAACATGCGCCATACCAACAGAAAATCCTCTACACACGAAATCTACGCGTATATACTACCGCTGCATCTGTCCATCGAAACCACTTACGTCTTTATTAGTGTAACAGTGGCATAGGATCATGATGGTACGGTGCACCTAATCACAACGGAACCACCATTCGACAGAGATTGTGTAACACCCGGTTAAATTTTAGAAATTATAAAGTGATGACTTTAATTGGTATTTTGAAAGAAATTAGGGATTAAATTGTAAAATCATAAAATTAATAGACCATTTTAAGAAGTGTAAGAAATTCAGTGACTAAACTCATAATTTAATCATTTTCCTTTAGAAGAGAATTATAAAATCTCTTTCCCGATTGTTTTTGGAGAATTTTCCTCAGAAAATGCTCCATTTTCCTCATCTGGTCAAGCAACTTTCAATTTCGATCTATTCATCGTCTGACATTTGTTTGACGAATCGAAACCATCATCGTATTTGTTGTCGACCGATGAACAAAATCCCTCAAACTTTTCGTCGTGAATCATCGTCGTTCTTCGTTAATATCAGTCGAAAGTATCGTCAGTTTTAACTCAATTTTCAGTTAGTTTTTCGTCGATTCACGATGATCTAGCCATCTGTTTTCGACACCTCCCGTACAATCGTGTTCCTTGCATCGTTCCGAGTCCATCGGTGTCCTCCGTTTCTCTGTCGTCGCCGGCGCGTGGAGATGTGAGAAAGTTAAAGTTTTCGATGTTTCAGAATCGAGCTCTCCGCCGTTCAAAATTGTAAATTGAGCTTGGTAAGTGTCTCAAAATGTCTTAAAATAATTTTTAGGAATTTTTTCAGGAATTTTCCGACACCGTATCACTGTTCACTTGTCGCACGCGCCGCCACTGCGCGTAGGGGGTGCTAATTTTGTAATTAATTTCTAGTTAATATTATACTTTTTGTATTTTTTTCCTACACGATATATTATTTTTTTAAGATATGATGATAAAAATATCTTGATGTTTAATTAAATAATTAGTTTGGTTATCGATAAAGAGTAATTTAAATGATAATAAGTTTAATATCGTTTAAATAATGTCTGAAGTTTGACTCTTTGTGTATGTATAATATTTTTGTTAGGAGACTCATTCACTAAAGTTAAGTATATGATACAAATATGTATTAAAATAATTATTTAATTAAATATTAGAATGATTTTTTATATTATATTTTTAATGTATTCATCACTTAATTTGGATTTCGTATTATAAAAGTTTAATTATAAAAATAATTTATTTTATTCATAATATTTGTGATCTTATTAAAAGATCTAGTATTTCATCTACTAAATTAAATTGATAGTTAATGATATTAATATTTTCATTTAAAAAAATTAAAAGATTGTTAGATTTTTAATTTGTTAAATGATTTAATCGATAATTTGTATAAAGGAAGGCATTAAAACATTAACTAAATGGGATATAATAATTAAAAATAAAATCAACTACATGATATTTAACTGATGTCGATAATCTCAACCAAATAAAATTTAAAGGTATTTAATAGGTATTATGGTGATTAATTAAAGCTAAAAGAGAGTTTGAAAGCGGTAGTGTGAATAGAGTAGTTAGAGAACATGAAAGGTGAATGATATATGACGCCAAAAGTAGGAAAGGACAAAAAAGTGGGTAGAAAGCAGCAAATGGAAGGGAAGGAAACTCATTTGCAGCTGATTTCGACACTGTAATTTGTTAAATTTCGTTATTTTTGTTTAATCCTCTTGAATAAAAGGGAATATTTTTAAGAAGAAACTCTCTGTTTAAGCTTATATATATCTCGCCAAAGGTTTAAGCTTTAAGCTTTTAAAGAGAGTTATAAGCGAAGGGTTCTTAAAAAGATTGGTTAAGAAGTAATACTGTTCCCACCCGCCTTTTCAGTCTCCTCCTTCCCATGTGACTCTGTCTCCAAATCAATCCCCTCCATTAAATATATTTCTTTATAATACTGTATCGATTCATTAAACCTGAAATCTCTGGAGTTTCTTCTTCTGTTTCTTTTCACACTGCCACTGCTGGTTTGGGTTGTGGTTTTTGAGGTTTGGAATGTTTCTGAGGTTTGGGGTTTTTTGTGTTGGGATGATGAGTATGAGTTTCCATTGAAGTTCTGCTTAAAGCCCGGAAATGGAGAGAATTTTGTTTGGACACTTCGTTTTATTGCTTCTCGTTTGCTTCGGCAGCTTATTCTCTGTTCCAGTTTCGGGTCGAGATGGACCAATCACGGATCATGCCAAGTTCATTTTTGGTTGGTGTTTTTTTTACATCTCTTTTGATTTGGGACGTTATTGTTCAAACGTTTCTGGGTTTTTATTCATATATGTTTCTTTTGTGATTTGATATTCATTGTTATATTTGGTTGGT